CCCATACACATAAAATTTAAAGAATTTTAAACCCAGTGAGAAGCCAGGTGGTGGTGGTACATGCCTTTGAACTAGCACTTGGGAAGGAAAGGCAGGTGGATCTGAGTTTGAGGCCAGCCTGGTCTACAGAGTTCCAGGACAGGCAGGGCTAAACTGAGAAATCCTGTCTGGGAAAACCGAATAATAATCATCAGCATCAGTAGCATCATAATCATGATCATAATAAATAAATAATCAGATCCAGTGAGAACAGCACACTATGTTTAGGGCATTCCATGGCCAAGTGGGGAGCAAATAAGATGAAAATCAGATCTTGAAGGAACATGCTAAGGAATGTAGACTTGTTAGACCAGAGTTCCAGCCTCACCCCTGCTTCAATCCCAATCTCTGAGCCTGCACCTGGGCAGCTGAAATCCTTTTAAGCACCACACAACCACACTTCCATCCATAGCTAGGTAGGAAATGTATATAACAGGAAAGGCTAGCTAATAAGGAATCCTAGGAATGGGAAACTGGTCCACAAAGACAAAGGCAGTGTCTCTTGTAAGTGAAGGCCAGGGTAGAGTGCTTATGAAGTCCTCCTGAGTTTGATCCCAGCATTGCTTATTATAAGCCAGGCTTGTGGTACATATCTGTGATCCAAGCATTCAAGGTGAAGGCAGGAAGATCACAAATTCAAGGTCATCCTCACCTAAAAAGTGAGTCTGAGGCTAGTCTGGCTAGGATTCTGTCTTGCTGTGAACGCATTCTGAGAAACAGAACAAAAGCCCATTCAAATAACCAGCAGACATACTCTCAGAACTCCAGAAGCAAAAGCAAATCTCTTTAAGTTCAAAGCCAGGCCAGGGAATATACATTCTCAAGAACCAGTCTCAAAAAATAAATAAATAAGCCAGCGATGGTGGCAAACACCTTTGATCCTAGCACTCAAGAGACAGAGGCAGGCAATCTCTGAGTTGCTGGCCAGCCTGGTCTAGACAGCACGTTCCAGGACATCCATAGCTGTTACACAGAGAAACCCTGTCTCAAAAAACAAAACAAAAACAGAATCTATTTCCAAGATGGATCCAAGTAATTTATAATGGCTTATCATGCGTAGCATCATGTAAAAAACTTCCCTCACTCCTGGACTTTGGTTTTTGAGCTAAAATCTCATATACACTTTGTTGCCCAGGTTAGTCTGGAACTCCCAGCTCCCAGGGATCTTCCTGCCTTAAGCTCCTTAGTAGCTAGGACTACATAAACACATCTCCTCACCTCCTAAGACAATCACCAGACCATATCATTGCTCTATAGTTAATTACCAAGTTGGGAGGATATAAACCTGTATTCAAGAGCAAAACCGTTCATTGTTTAGCACAATTAATCCCAAGGAATGAATTGCTACTGAATAACTCCTGTGCCTGGCATATGCTTACAAACTGAGGAAGTGCACCAACATGGAGTTTGGAATCAACACTGCTTCAAAAGCACTCAAAAGATGCTACAAGCCGGGCGGTGGTGGCGCACGCCTTTAATCCCAGCACTTGGGAGGCAGAGGCAGGTGGATCTCTGTGAGTTCGAGACCAGCATGGTCTACAAAGCTAGTTCCAAGATAGTCTCCAAAGCCACAGAGAAACCCTGGCTCGAAAAACCAAAAAAAAAAAAAAGATGCTACAAATCTCAGTTCCTTGGCTCAACTATTATACCATAATAATAAAATGTACCTTCACTGCCTGTAAACCCACAAAGTTCCATATGAGAAAAGTCCCTGTGGGAAGCTACTCAATGGGAGAACCCCTAGGGGAGATGTATATCCTGAGGCAGGCAGCCCGTGATCAGTTGGATCAATTTTTACAGAGTTTTTGGTTTGGGCTTTGTAGCTATTTCCTTGTTACTGACTGAAGTAATGGTTACAATCTAGGCGTTGCCTTCAACGCCTTTGCAAATTAAAATGTATTTAATGCTTTGTTAACATTGTAAATCTTTTTTTGCTAATGTTGAAATTTAAAAGGTTCTCAAAACTCCCCTCTGAAGAGATGGCTCAAGAACTAAGAGCACTTGGTTATTGTAAAAGACCCAAGTTCCGGCTGGAGAGATGGCTCAGTGGTTAAGAGCACTGGCTGCTCTTCCAAGACCTGGGTTCAATTTCCAAAACCCCAAGGTGGCTCAACAACTGTGGGCAACTCCAATCCCAGGGGATCCAACCTCTTTTGGCTTTCGCTGACACCAAACACCCAGGCAAAACACTAATAACAAAAGCCAGGTGCATGCCTTTAATTCCAGCAACTGGGATGCAGAGGCAGGTGGATATGTTTGAGTTCAAGTCCAGCTTAGTCTACAGAGAGAGTTCCAGGAAACCCAAAACTATACAATGAGAACCTGTTTCAGAAAAACAAAACAAAAAAGCAAAAACAGTTTCGGTTTTTCAATACTGGAAATTCCTTTATTTCTATCTTAAGCACTGGGATACTACGGATCAATGACCTTCCTTTTCTTCCTTTTGTTTGTTTAAGACAGGATCTCATGCAGGCTGGTACTGGAACCCCCCTCCACCCACCAAGGAGCCTTGAAGAAGAAAGGAAGACAAAGAATGTAGGATTTCATACTGGAAGCCAGGGAGACTCAGTGCATCATGATCTACTATTACTCCTTAGTTATAACTCTCCCAATCTATTGAAACTCAAAACTTCTTCAGTTGCAAAAATAATTATACACTAATTTTGAGTGTTGAAAAAAAAGGGGGGGCTTGAGAGATGGCTCAGCAGTTAAGAGCACTGACTGTTCTTCCAGAGGTCCTGAGTTCAATTCCTGACAACCACATGGTGGCTCACAACCACTTTGAATGAGGCAGGCAGGCAGGCAGGCAGGCAGGCAGGCAGGCAGGCAGGAAGGCAGGAAGGCAGGAAGGAAGGAAGGCAGGAAGGAAGGAAGGAAGGAAGGAAGGAAGGAAGGAAGGAAGGAAGGAACTTAAGTAAAATAAGCTTGGATTAGCATGTACTGAAACTTTTTCCTGAGCTCTAATTTTTAAATAACAATTTAAAAACTGTAATTCCGAGCACGCCTTTAATCCCAGCATGGGGGGGGGGGGGATGAGGCAGGCGGATCTCTGTGAATTCGAGGCCAGCCTGGTCTATAGAGCTAGTTCCAGGACAGACTCCAAAGCCACAGAGAAACCCTGGCTCGAGAAAAAAAAATGTAATTCCCCTCCCAGATGTCTGACAGCTTGGGGATTCCAAGTTGGGTCAATAGGGCTAGATCAGGGAGATACCAGGATGAACTCAGGTCAGCTGGTCCTGACTGTTCACCCCTGTAATTCTAGCAGTCAGAAGGCTGCAGCAGGAGAATCACTTTGGGTTTGAAGTCAGCATGGGATACAGAGTAAGGCCTTTGTCTCAAAAAACAAGAGGCAAAACGGAAAAAAAAAAAAAAGGAACAAAGTCAAAATTCCTGTTCTTCAGAAATGCAAACCCATTATAAGACAGAAATCTAACAGCTACAAAGAGAAATGTAAAGTGCTGTGTTGTGGGGGGAACCTCACACAGTTGGAGGGATAGGTGTTAAGCCCAAGGCTCCCTGGAAGGAAAGAGGATTGAGAAGATAGTTTCTCTCAGGCTGAGTAAACAGCACACACAAAAGGAGGACCATCCCTTACCACAGAGTGAAATTAAGCTTTGTTTGGAACTCTTAGACCCGAGTTATTTTTCTCCTTTGTGGGGTAGCCAAAGAATCTCCCTGCATTCTCTTTTCTCATCTAACTCAAAAGATTAAGCATGATCATGAGTATGAAGCACACAATAAAAATTGGAAAAATGGTAACTGTTGCAATAATTAGGTACAAAAGCATCCAGAATCTCTTAAGTTGGAGGTGAGACCAAAGAGACTGTTTTCTAAGAAAGGTCTTTCATGGAGAAACTGTCTCAAAACAAGCAAAGAGAATGAAAGTTCTTTTGTGCCAAGTTAGCAGTTAGGATGGGGAGGTGAGATGGCTCACAGGTAAGCCTGTCCCCTGAGTGGAGCACCCTGAACCCACAAAGTAAAAGCAGAGAGCTAACAAGTGTGTACTCTAACCTCCACATGAGTGCCATGCACAACATATTACACACACACACACACACACACACACACAGAAAAAAAGTACTTTAAAGAAGTTAGGGAGCTGGAGACATAGCTCAGCGGTTAAGAGCACTGATTGCTCTTCCAAAGAACCTAGTTCAATTCCCAGCATCTTTAAGGCAGCTCATAACTGTCTGTAACTCCAGTTCCAGGGATCCAACACCCTCACACAGACCAGACATACTTGCAGGCACATGAAATTAAAAATAATTTTTTTTAATTTTTGCTGTTGTTGTTTTGGTTTTTCAAGACGGGGTTTCTCTGGAACTCACTCTGTTGACCAGGCTGGCCTCGAACTCACAGATATCACCCTACCTTCACCTCCTGGCAATGGGATTAAAAAACGTGCGCCACCACTGCCCAGCTTTTTTTTTTAATTTAAAGAAATTAAAATTAATTGTTACCGACAAAACCATAGAGGATTTTAGCCAGAAGGAAAAGATTAAGTGCTTGCTTTAGAGAAAAGAACTCTGGAGTGAAGGGTAGTCAGGGAAAAGTATTTAGAAGGGTACCTGAGAGAGAGTGGAGGAATTCAGGTCATTTCAATAAAGATAGGAAAAACAGCATGCATTCACATATCTTCCTAAATTGAAACGTACAAGGCTATAGAGGGAAGACAACTTTGGGGGATGTGAACACGGAAGTGATTAGCATCCCTTTCTCTTAGGAAATCGATGGAGTGTCACTGGCAGAGCAGAGTAGGAGGTTGACCATAATTGTTTTGTGCCTACTTCCACTCTAGTTTTAAATGTTCTCGCTAGGTTTCAGTGAACAAACGTTTTCTTTTGTTCCCAGTGACTCCATCGACCAAATACAACTGGGGCAGGGAGGAAGCCCGGCTATCTGTTCTCAGGCGCCAGCTCCGGGACCTTTTGTATTTCCGGTCAGGCGGTAGCTGCGCCGCACTACCTGGTAGCACTCAAACACTGGCGGGGTTATCTTTAGAAGATGTCGGAAAATCTACCAGTGAAAAACTGAAATCAACGGAGCACCTGTAAGCCTCACAAAAGGAGTCAATTAGTGAGATGACACTCCGCTACATTCAAGATACAAAGTGCGTACACCATGTTATTTTTGTAAACTTTGGCCGGTTTTGATTCGAACGACAACAGCCAACCCCCACCTCCCACCTCAAAAAATATCACTTTGCTTCTTCACCAGGGAAAGGAGATCAGGATGACTAAGAGGTGGATAAGAAGGAGAACCTAGCTGCGACAGGGGACGACCCCACGCCTTCCTAGAGTTGGAACTTGTCCGCCGTGTGACTCCGCAGTCACAAGGAGACAGTTTGCAAGAACCCAACACAATTTCAAAAGACCACCAACTAACTGACCTAACTTTGGCCGCCTGCCCTTCCTTCCTTTCCCGTCTCAGGCCTCGCAGCCTCCCGGTCCCGGAGCTGTGGGCTGGCGGAATGGGGCTCAGAGTCCGGCGACCGCGGCCCAGGACCGGGCGGCTCCGCGGCGCGGACTCCCAGCCGGGGCTCCGGCTTTCTGCCCCGAGGGCGCCCAGCTTGGGGGCCTCCAGGCACGGCCCACACATCAACGGCGTCCTCGACCCGGACCGCGGCCGCTGCGACGGAGAGCCCGGCTCCGCTCCGGGAGGAGGGGGCGCGAGAACTGCCCAAGCTGATCCGAGGAGCCGGCGGCGGCGGCTCCCGGCGCGGCCTTGCGCTCCCGCCCAGGCTGCGGCCTAGGCGGCCCCGTTAGATCTGTCCTCCACACGCGGCACAGCGGCACTGAGGGGCCACGCAACGAGAGATGGAGGGTGGCGACGCCCCAAGGAGCCGCGGCCCGCCGTGGGGGTCCCGGCCCGGGGACGCCGCCCCCCGCCTGGCCAGCGCCAGAGAATGGCTTTTACCTTCATCAGCCTCCTGCTGGCCGCCATCTTGGATCTGGTGCTGCTGCTTTCCCAAAATGCATCGCGGTAGGCCAGGCGGCTGGAACCCCCTCACTTCCTGGAACGGGGGAGGGGCGAGCCGGGAAGAGCGCGGAACAGAGAAATGTGCCTACTGTGTGCGGATCCCAGTGCTGGAAGAGACCTGTGTAGACGCGAGGGACCTGGACAATTAAAGACCTTTGCCTCGTGCAGCCTCCAGTCCGACGGATAATACATACCGTGCCTGGCACGTAGTAGGTGATACATGTTGTGTATACAAAATAACTGAATAATCAAGACTATTTTAGGCACTGCTAAACATTGTGAAAAAGTAAATCTGAAAAATGAGAAAGTTACTGTGGGACTGACGATATAGTTGGTCAAGTGCCTGCGTGTGCAAGTAGGACCTGAGTTTGGATACCCACATAAAAAGCAAGCATAGTCCCCTGCCTGTGTAGATAGATACAGGTGGATCCCTGAAATTCTTTGTCTAACTACTCTAAATCAGATTCAAGAAAACCAATGAAGTGCAAGCATGGAAAAGCATGTGTGGACCTCAGTTCTGCGTGTGTGCGTGTGTGTGTGTGCCCACACTAACTTTCACACACAGCCTCCCACACACCAGTAACTACAAGGACCTACTTTCAGGAAGGCTCACTGAAGAAACTGAATAAGAGAGAGAAGAGCAGCCAAACATAAGTGGATTATGCCTTTATTTCTGGCATTTGGGAGGTGGAGTCAGGCATGACTAGCCAGCCTAGGCTACATAGTATGACCCTATCCACTGTCTCAAAAATAGTAATAGCAGCTGCCAGGAGTAGTGTCACACACTTGTAACCTCATAATTCTAACAGTCCAGGGAATGAAGCAGAAAGATCCAAAGAGAAAGAAACTACTAGATGGTAACCCCCAGCAGTGCCTTTGCCAGTGGGGAGGTTTTGTTGAGGGATACAGAAATGTAGATGAGGTCTCATGTCACCCAGGGTGGCCTCAGAATTCACTAACTAAGGTCTAACTAAAGATGACCTTAACCTCCTGATCCTCTTCCACCCTCAAGTGCTGAGAGTGCATTTGAGTCACCTGTACTTCTCTAAGTAACTTCAATAAACACACTAAAAGGAATCTTTCTTTGGTCTTTTGGTGCCCTTTCTATCTAGTCTCCCCAAGAGAAATCGCTTGACACCAGGACCTGACCCCATGTCTCAAGAAAACTGGGGCTCTAAGGAAATGAGAAATACAGAGTTGGCAATGTGGGGCAACTGAGATGTGAAAGGAATGCTGGGATTAAAAGCATGCGTAACCACCACCTGGCAAGAAGTGTTGTCTTTATGGAGTCCTTTACGCAGCACTGCTTTACAGAGAGGATTCTTGGGTGTCCGTGGCTTCCTAGGGCCTGTGGCAACTAGGGTTTAATAGTTAGGTTGGTATCTCATGGTGGCTGAGTGGCTTCATAGCTTGTGCAACCTGCTGCAGCCTTAAGTGGGACCTCGAGCAGTGAGGTGAGGATGCATGGATCAAGATTCACGGGACTAGGTTCAATATAGGTTAAATATAAGTTTACTTGGGGAGAATGCACTTATGCATGAAATAGATGACCACTGCAGGTTCCCTCTTCGAGGGTTCACCCAGGCTGCTTTCTGTGACCTGACCAGAAGCAACAGAGAGACCACCTGTCCCCTGACCCCAGACCTAAACCCACACTCTGTCGTGTCCGAACCTGTGACCACACCCACGTGGTCAGTGCTACAGGTGCGGGCTGGGTGGATTTCTCACTGCAGTGAAGTCTGGAGGTCAGTCTGTTACTGCAGGAGGGCTAGGAGTGGATCACAGTCACTGGGCTAGTCATGCCAGAACCCCCTACACCACGTCAGAGGTGTTCCAGAAGGTGGTGGAGTATCTTCCTTGGTCTCCACGCTGTTCCCTTGTGGGACTCAGGACACCACTGTGCATAAGATAGATGAGAGTTGTCGCCGGGCGTTGGTGGCACACGCCTTTAATCCCAGCACTCGGGAGGCAGAGGCAGGCGGATCTCTGTGAGTTCGAGACCAGCCTGGAATACCAAGCGAGTTCCAGGACAGCCTCCAAAGCCACAGAGAAACCCTGTCTCGAAAAAAACCAAAAAAAAAAAAAAAAAAAAAAAAAAAAAAGATGAGAGTTACAGACTTGGAGATGCTAGTATCTTCTCTGAGTATCACTCTCATTTACAAAATGAGAGATTACATGGGCTGTTTTCAGACATGATTCTGTAGCAGTACAGAGTTCCTTGGAGATACCACAGGACTAGAGAGGAATGATGCTAGGAACTGAAGGAAAGAGAATGGCCTACCTACCTCAGTGTGCAGATCTAGCCGTAGGTGTCATGTATCACATTCTACGAAAGACAATAATTTAAGAAAGAGGCAGTAGGCCTGGAGAGATGGCTCAGGGGTTAAGAGTACTGGTTGCCCTCCCAGTATGGTGGCTCACAAGTGTCACTCTAGTTCCAGGGAATCCAGTACCTTCTTCTGGCTTCAACAGGCACCAGGCACACAAGTGGTACACAGACATACATGCGGGTAACACACACACACACACACACACACACACACACACACACACACACACACACACACACACTCGCGCACTTAAAAAGCAAGGAGAGAGCCGGGCGTTGGTGGCGCACGCCTTTAATCCCAGCACTCGGGAGGCAGAGGCAGGCGGATCTCTGTGAGTTCGAGGCCAGCCTGGTCTACAAGAGCTAGTTCCAGGGCAGCCTCCAAAGCCACAGAGAAACCCTGTCTCGAAAAACCAAAAAAAAAAAAAGCAAGGAGAGAAACCCTATCTGGGGGAGAGGGGGAGCCCAGACATTGTGGTGCACACTTTTTTTTTCTAGATAAGGTTTCTCTGTGGCTTTGGAGGTTATCCTGGAACTAGCTCTTGTAGACAGGCTGGCCTGGAACTCACAGAGATTCACCTGCCTCTGCCTCCGGAGTGCTGGGAATAAAGGTGTGTGCCACCAACGCCCGGCTGTGGCTCACACCTTTAATCCCAGTACTTGGGAGCAATATGCAGGTGGATCTCTGTGAGTCTGAGATAGGTCTGGTTCAAATAGTGAGCTCCAGGACAGCCAGGAATATATACCAAAACTTTGTTTCAAAAACAAAAATTTTGATTATTCTTGCCTTCATCACATCAAGACTGCCTCTTCAGTATTATTTTTAAATGTATTTTTATGTGTGTTGGTGTTTTGTCTGCATATGTGTCTGAGCACCACCAGGTGTATGCCGTTCCCTCAGAGGCCAGAAGAGGGTATCAGATACCCTGAGATTGGAGTTACAGATGGTTATGAGCTGCAATATGGGTGCTAAAAATCAAACTTGGATCCTCTGAACCAGCACCCATCCATTTGTGTGTGTGTGTGTGTGTGTGTGCATTCGTGCACACGCATGCATCCCCCTGACTGTTACAGTGAGCTTGTGGGAAAGAGGACAACTTGTGGTAATTGGTTCTCTTCTTCTACCATGTGGGTTCCAGTAATCAAACTCAGGTCATCAGATGTACTGGCAAATACCTTTGCTAGCTGTGTCACCTCACTGGTCTGGGAAGAACTATTTTTTTTAAAGATTTATTTATTTATTATGAATGCAACATCCTGCCTCCATGTATGTCTTCACATACCAGAAGAGGGCGCCAGATCTCATTACAGATGGTTGTGAGCCACCATGTGGTTGCTGGGAATTGAACTCAAATGAGCCACCATGTGGTTGCTGGGAATTGAACTCAGGACCCCTGGAAGAACAGTCAGTGCTCTTAACCTCTGAGCCATCTCTCCAGCCCAGGAAGAACTATTTATTTATTTATTTGTTTGTTTATTATTTATTTATTGTGTATACAGTCTTCTGCCTGCATGCCAGCAGAGGACACCAGATCTCATTCAAGGTGGTTGTGAGCCACTATATGGTTGCTGGAAATTGAACTCAGGACCTCTGGAAGAACAGTTAGTGCTCTTAACCTTTGAGCCATCGCTCCAGCCCTTTATTTATTATTTTAAGTTGAAGATCATAACCCACACCTTTCATCTTAGCACTTGGTAGGCAGTGATTGGTAGGTCCCTATGAGTTCAAGGCCAGCCAAGGCTACATAGCAAATCCTTGTTTCAAACAACAACAAAAATGAAACAAAAAAGTGTTATATTGTTTGAAACAAATTTGAAAACCTCTGAGTTAAATGTCCTCCTGAAAGAATACTTTAAGACTGCTGAGTACCAGGTGGTGGTAGCACACGCCTTTAATCCCAGCACTCAGGAGGCAGAGGCCAGTCATCTCTGTGAGTTCGAGAGCAGCCTGGTCTATAGAGAATTCCAGGACAGGCTCTAAAGCTACACAGAGAAACCCTGTTTTGAAAAACAAACAAGCAAAAAAAGACAACCCTTCTTCTAACCCAGGACAAATTCAAAGCTAAGACCGTAATCCTACTTTCTTTTTTTTTTTTTTTTTTTTTTTTGGTTTTTCGAGACAGAGTTTCTCTGTATTGTTTTGGAGGCCGCATAATCCTATTTTCTTACTTGCCACTCTTACACCACATCTGCTTCAGTTCTGAAAATGATTATCTTGAACTATACTTCTCACGTTCGTGCTCCACAGGGACATTTTTCTGTGCCACCACTGCCCGGCTACTACAGAGGTGTTTTTTATAGGCTCAGGTGAATCTGGTTTGGAATATAAGTACAGCAGTCAGAAGGTCAGGTGCCAAGAACAGGGTTAATTGTAAGTCCCAGTGCTTGCTAGGAAGGCACCCCAAAGGAGCTTCTGATGGAATGTATGGACACGGAAAAGTAGCTAGAAGAAAGCTATACACGTGATTTTGTTTTTCTGTCTTGTTTTTCGTTGGGGGGAAAGAGGAGAGTCTGTTTCCTCTCTTTAAGGAATGGACCTTACCAACAACCTGGCTGAAGACTGGCCTTCACTCCTTGGCCAGCTTGATGCCTCTGCCTAACACCCCAATGGCCAGTGCACACCCTGAGGCTCCAGACCTTGCTCAAGGGTGGCATCTGAGTGTTGGAGCTAAGCAGGCCAGGAGACCACGCTGAAGAGCACCCTCTCTGTCCCTCCTGCCTTTTTGGTCCTAGGTCTTGTACAGAAAAGGCATTACATTTTTACCTCCTCTGAATCCACTTTGGTCAGAGACACAAAGGCATATTAGACATACTCATTCCTCAAAGGAGAAACAGCAGCAAGTAGAGTGGCCAGGGTACCAAAGAGGCTGTCGTATCTTGAGAACTCCAAGCCTAGCCAAGAAAGACCAGAAAGGCTTCCTGGAGTAGGAAACTACCAAATTAAATACCAAAGGACAGAAAAAAGTGAACAGCCAGCCAGGCAGTGGTGGCGCACGCCTTTAATCCCAACATTAGGGAGGCAGAGGCAGGCAGATCTCTGTGAGTTCGAGGCCAACCTGGTCTACTGAGCGAGTTCCAGGACAGTTTCCAAAACAATACAGAGAAACCCTGTCTCGAAAAACCAAAAAGAAAAAGAAAAAGATTTGAAAAGGAGCAGGAAAATGGTGGCACAAGCCTTTAGTCCCAGAACTCGGGAGGCAGAGGCAGGCAAATCTCTGAGTTCAAAGCCAGCCTGATCTACAGAATGAGTGACAGCCAGGGTGACATACAGAAACCCCATCTCAAAAAAAAAATGGTAGGGAGCTGGAATGATGAGGGATTATGAGTGTTTTCTGCTCTTGCAGAAAATATGGAAATATGGGTTCAGCTCCCGGTACCCACATGGTGACTAAACACTACTTGTAGTTCCAATTCCAGGGTATCTGAAGCTCTCTTCTGATCTCAAAGAACATCAGGCTTGCATGTGGTACACGTAAACTCAGGTAGGCACATATACATAAATGAATAAAATAATAAAACATCTTAATTTTTTTTTGCTATTTTGGAGGGATTTTTTTTTGAGACTGTGTTTCTCTTCATGGTACTAGAACTCAACTCTGTAGACCAGGCTGGCCTTGAACTCACAGAGATCTACCTGCTTTTGCTTTCTGAGTGCTGGGATTAAAGGTGTGAGCCACCACTGCCCAGCTTAACATCTGGTCTATAAAGCAAGTTCAAAGACATCCAGGGTTATACAGAGAGACCCTGT